ACATACATGTAGATTGACTGAAACACAACTGAGGGGCACTTGACTATTAGAAAGACTATTAAATACTGAAGTAAATTGTATCCAACCTTAATTGATCAGACATTAGAGTAGAAGTAAACACTGATTTTTGGGCTGGATAAGTTACTTTATCTTAAATCTTCTCTAATCAGCATTAGATAGTATAAACAAGTTTAAAACTAGCTCAGTTTTCTGAAACCATTATGCAGGAAAATCCTGGTATTTCCAGTCAAGCTTTGTTAATAAATTTCATAAAATAAGAATGCACATTAGTTTTCTAATAAGGCCTCCTTCTTTATTCTTCTTGCTGTTCAGTAAGCAGACAAGAGGAAGACTGATCAAAAGTAAAGACAGATTTCGGGAAAGGCGACACTATGAAGAGAATTTAGAATGTGACAAAAGAATGGTGAAATGTTTGAGCTATAGAGATAGATGAAGGACAAATTTTAAACAACCCTCAAGGAAAGGTTTTGATAATGACCTGGACAAGCAGAAAGACTGATAAGCAGACAAGCAAAACCATATGTAGAGACACACATTCCACTGGCCAAAGATGAAAAATCAAATTTCTCTTACAGAAAAGTTCAGTTCTCGGGAACTTGAATTTAAGATGGTAGCCATATATCCCAGAAATATAATGCAGAAGAGAGAAAGTAAATGTCAGCAAAAATGCCTCATTCTTTCAGAGCTGCTGCAGTAACCAGGCAAGTACTCACAGCGAACAGTAGGCGACAGCAGTTTTCCTCTTGGGCAGATGCTGTTTTCTGTGAACCCACTATTACCACCCCCCCTCATTTCTTCCACTGGATTTAAACCTCAGCTCTAGGGCAAACATGAAATTCCACTGACAGTCAGTCAGAAGCCAAAAGCCAGAGACATTCTTCTCCCAGCGAAATTACCTACTCCTGGGAAAAAGAAACAGGTCCATACATAGAGTTTTTATGCCCTTTTGCTTTTAAGACCAACTAGTTTTGCCTTTATTTAGATCTACAAAAAGTGTGGTAGTTTGGAAAAGGCCAAACTTAACTCTTTAAAGTAACTGTGCACTATAGAGTGCCATTTTCACAAAGAATTTTAAACATTTCTTACTTGTTGTCCTTGAAGACATCCATTAAGAAATTCTGATTAATAGTTGGGAACATCTCAAAAAGTTGCTTCTCCTTTAGTTTAGCAGCACAGTCTTTTCTAGCCGTAGAAGGAACACGATTCTATGCAGAAGACAAAGGAAAAATATTACAGAGTTCTTAATTAGAACAAAATATAGTAACAGCAGAGTCTATCCAACTTTACTGTTATTTGTTAAGATTTAAAATCTAATCAGTAGGTGTGCACCCACAGCAATGACATGTCAGTATCAGCCTGCCACACTGATTTGATGAGAATAAAGTAGGGACAGGTGAGTTGTATGATACAGCACTGCAGTACTCTGCAGTCAGTTGAAATGACTCAGCTGGAGCTTCCTCATAACTTGGACAAAACAAAAGGAGGATTTATTAGGAAGAATTTAAGTTTTGCATTGCATTCCCTAGCTTAGCATTGGACAAAGTCCACCTCTCTATATTGATGGCCTGGGATTGAAACAATATTTTATTATTAAACAGCGCAAACAACTTTGAAGTTGTACTGTAATAAATATTCATGTTTGTGAAGTCATGCTGAGAAGAAACATAGCCCAGAATAAATCGGCCTGATCATTCCAATACTCAGATTTAAGAAAAAGAAAAAAGAAGAAGTGGTCAAAACAAAGCCAAGCTCCATGAATCCAAACTGAAAATAAAGCTGCAGACATCACAGTTGTTGTTATCAGTAAGACACATACATGCAGTTCTAAGAAAGAATCCACAAGCCTTCTTTCAAAGTACGGGCTAATCCATCCAACTTTCTACGCCAGTAGAAACAAAGTTCCTCTTTTTCAGGACAGCTACTTATTAGAGACAACTACAAATAAAAATGCCTGTTCTGAAGAGGTGCCGGGCAGTAGAGGGCAGTGTTATGCACACGCCAACCAAACAGGGTACGGGAACTTTGCGGAAGATACAAAATGAATAAAAATCTTTTTAAAAATTACTATATTCTGACAAGCGGGTACAGAAACCTGTTTGAGATTAACTTAAAGTATTTCATGTAATGTCTCATCTGTAAGGAACGTTGTGGGTTCTCCTTACAAAAAATATTAAAATCAGTTCAAGCCACTTCTAAACAAACAAGGCATGGAGCTATTTAAGAACTTTTTTTGATATTGCTTCCCCAATAAAGTGTGGGAAATCAAATCGATCTCTGTTTTAAAGTGAGCAATCAAAAAACAGTTCAACCAAACACAGATGCTAACCTGTACAGTGAAACGCACCATGATCTGTTTGTGAAAAAATCAAAACATTACAATTCAAAATGAGATTTGTATTTTTTAATCAGAAATATCTACCACAATCAAACACCTGTACCACAGTAATCAACAATACTAAGTGGCATGCATTTGTCTCAGAAATTCAGGCTGGAATCAATAGCAGAAAGATAAGGCACCCAGTAAGACATACTGTTTCATTGACAGAAATAAATTTAAACTGCATTAAAAAAATGGTGCTATCCATACCAGGTCCTGTTTCTCCTGCATTGCTATTTCTTCAGAAATTATTTGTCTGAGAGAAACTTTCTGGATCTGAGCATTCCAGTGATCCATAAAAGGAAAAACGTCTGATGTTGGTGGTTTTCTAGAGTGCATGTCACTAGATGAGCCTGAAACCCAGCTCATTTTTTTCTTCTGTATTTTACTGTCTGCATTCTGAGATAACATTAGCATTTCTGTGTCATCTGTTTCTATCTGCTGAATCACAGTAGAACCTTCAAAAGTAATAAAAATGAGGTGACAAATAAAACCACTATTAGTTTATTTATACAAGCAAAGCCAAAATAAGTTTTTCAATCTGTTTCGTTAAAACCATATTGTTAAAGACAAAACAGAAAACAACTCATAGCTTTCACCTTCCTCACTTCTATTTTCCAAAGATTAGATAATCACCTTTATTTTGTAAAACAAAAGCAAAACTACCAGACTCCCTCACCAAATTGTCAAGTGCCAAGAGGTACCTTACAGCTGTAAACAACCTTGGAGAGGTTTGTTTGCTTTTATTACCAGAATTACCACTCAAGTCTTTACATGTTGACCTGCCATTCCTCTGCAAGTTAAGGACAGATGCTTAACAATCTGATTTTACTTCAGGTTGTTCATTAATTTCTATGAGTTCACACTGACAGCACTGTTTCACAATTTGTGTGGAGAGTTTGCACCCACACACCCAGGTCCCAGCAAGAGTAGTGGGGTTCTGCTCGGTAGGGGAACATTTCACCTGGGAGCTGAATAAAAATTACATTGCCAGAGAATTTAACACTTTGTTAACAAGGACACAAACCTTCCTGCTACAATCAATTCCTCTGTCAAGGCCAACAACGTGTAAATGTCTTTTTCTTGACCCCCTTCCCTCACCTGAAGAAATCTCGCTCTGCTACTAATTCTCTGGCCACACCTTTTCTTGCCAAAGCAAGACCACAGAGCAGTCTGATCCAGTCAGAGCTTCTCTTTAAGTCCTCTGAAGGACACAAAATGACAGCCTCTGCATCTGCCTAGGACTAGTGATTCTGCACATAATTCAACTTCTTTCCCTCCCCCCTCCATCTCTGTAAATGGAACCAAAGGCGATAAATAAAAGCTTGGCTTAATAAATTAATCCATCATTTTTCAATAGTCAGAATATTTGCAATCTTACAGAAGTTTCAAAGAATTCAGGACTTTTATAATGATAATTAAGTGTTTTTACGATTAAGAGAAATATATGACATACCTTCTGTAGACAACTTACATGATTCATCTCTCCTCTGACGCTTCTAAATAAAAACAGTAAAACCATGAATGTCGTAAGCTATAAATTTTGCAGTGAAACTTCGTAAGTGTTACGTTCTAAGCAAACCAGCTTGAAAATAATGTCTCACAGTATTTCCCAAAGATCACATATTTTAAATATTGGGTATTTAAGAAAAATAATTACGAAAATTATGAAGTTTAAAACATAGAACTGTCTCTCTGGAAACACAAACTGGAGGAGCATGCCCCACTACTAAGAATTCATAATCTTAATTAAATAAACTGAAAGAAAATTTGCCAAAAAAGCATTCCAAGTTTCATAAGACTACGAAGGAATGGAGATTATAGAACTTTTCTCAAGTAACGTATATGGGGATGTTTCATACATGTAATTATTCATAAAAGAACCCTTCTTACACATCAAAGAGCCAGTAATGATTTTTGGTCAGTGGAATTTTTAACCAATCTTGTACTGAATCTGTCCTTTTTTTAGGAATCTTGGGTTTTGTACTGAGGTACTCAGGACATGCAGTTCCTTCACCCCTTAAACTGTCTTTCAACAGCTCTGATTATTATGACATGCCGATAAACTTCACGTCTTCCAAGATACCACTGTAGTCTGTTACTGTTCGAGCAAAAGATATTTCTATCTTACACACCCAGACCAACACATACGGAGACAAATGGTTTGACAAAGCGCAAGCGTGCCATACCATATTGTAAGCAAGCAATCTACTAACCAGAATAGATTCTTTCCATTTTTCATGAATCACTTTTGCCAAATTCAGATCAATATGAACCACACAATCCTCAACAGTTAGTGATCCTTATGGAAGAAAGAAAATGTATTCATTAAAGCAGTCTAAAAAAATCTTATCTAAGCAATTAAAGTACAGCAGCCTAGACTTAATTTAAATTCTGGAGATTCTGCACAAATTGTCATGCCTGAAAAAAATTTCAGCAACTGCCAAGTTAAAAATAAAAAAAAAAACCAGACATTCCACACAGAATTCACTATCTGGTGTTCAAAAACTCTGAAAGGATTGGAAAAACAAGTTACCATTAATTGTATCTTGTTGAAATATGACTAACTGAACAAATACATCTTTCTATTTTTTCCATTTTTCTAGCAGAACCTTCTTTTACAACGCCACTGTTAATTTAAAACCACCGTTCCATTTGTGAAACTGCAATTTCCCGTTTCATTACAACCCACACACAACTGCTTTCATGTAACATGATGCACTTGCCACTGCCCAGCAGCAGTTATATCCCTTCTTTTCAAGCACACAAACTCAGAAAAGCAAACTCCAAGCATCCTCTCTAACTCTAAGGAAATAGCAGGAACTATCATGGTATCATAATGATTCATCTTTTCCCTCACCCTCTCAAAAATAAAATGGCAAGAAGCACACATGTATCAAAGGGCATATTTCAGACATGATAAAACATCCTTCTGATATCAAAACCAAACTTATTTTTAGGAGGTTGGTATGGAAGGCAAAGAGGCTAGCAGTAAAATTCACCAATAAATCAGGCATCCAGGGCTTCACATCAAGTAGCTTCAGGAGAAAAGAATTTAAGAAGAAAAAAAGAGAGAAAACAAATAAGCTATACATTTTTTGTGTGTTTTCTTACTTTTTCTATCAGTCTTTAACTTTTGTGATACATGTTCGAGCTGCTTATGGCTTCCTTCATCATAGTCTCTCAGCAGACTAGTCTGTTCTCATCTTTTAAGTACAGCTGCACTTTATCTTCTCTCTAAACCATTCACCTTCTTTCCCAATTTAACTGATGCCTAAAGCTTTCTTTTTTCTTTCTGTTTTCCCAAGCAGTCATAATTTGCATCTTCCTCGCCATTTTAATATCCCTTCAGAGTTTGAATATTGGCTCAGAGGCCTGTTGCTCAAAATGCAAATAAGCCAATATGATTTTAAAGTATGTGCATTTACAAAAAGAAAAGGCAGAAGGTAGCGCTACTGCATTTGTATTTTATGCCACACTTCAGTTCCATTTTTTGATTAACAATAGCAAATGACAGTATTACAAGGAATTCTGCAAATCTGTTTCCTAAAAAAGCATGAAGGGAAAAAAGCACAGGCAATGGTAGAAAGGTTTTCTTACCCAAACTGTGTTTTTTCATTAAAAATATGCGCATAATTTTGCCCATACCTGCATCAATGCCAACAGGCCCAAAAATTTCTTTCAACTGGAGTGCCAGTTCAGGAGGTAACGTTAGTTCTAGGCAATCTATATTGAAGGCTGCACGTGATGCTGGTGTAGGTCTTTGTATCTTGGCTTTAGTTTCATCCCAGCTGGGTGTTTCAATTACTTCTTTACCATGTGTCTCCCTGGATCTGCCCTGGGTTTCTTTATCCATCTCTAGTTCTTTATCATTCCTAGGACCAACAAGAGGTGCACAATCCGCTTCCAGTAATGAAGCAGTCACTTTGGAATTCTCTGCACTGCTTTCTGAAGGGTTACTGTCACTTCTGCTATTTAGTTCAAATTTCAGATTGGTCAAAGTTGTGTTACTACCACAAGGCAAAGTCATGGGTATAAAGAAACCTGCATCAAGTTCTGAGACCGATGGCTTATTTATAGTTTCTTCAACAGGACTCTCAGACTCTATCTTCTGCCCTTCTGAAACGGATGGTTCAATAATATCTGCTGCCAAGCTGCATGCATCAGCTCCAGGGGCTGCATTTCCAGAATTCATCAGTTCCACTGAATCATTCAGTGACGTAACAGTCAATGGGTCAGACACATCAGCACCTATCACAGTTGCCTTGGTAGCCTGATTTCCTGCAACGCTGAGCGATGAGTCCTTGTCTTCTAAAGGCTCAGAGATATCGCCCGCCTCAATTATTTGTGGTGCTTGTTCGCAGTCTTTGAGATTCTCACCACAGTTTGTACTTGCCTTGAAATCGAGGTCTGTTATGACTGGCTCAGCTTTGCTTACTTGACAGCATTCAGCATCGACATCTTTGCGTAACTTTTCATCAGAGTCTAACAGCAGACCCATGGCCCAGTCTATGTCTTTGTTACACCTTTCATACAGATCTTTCACAGCTTCATATGAAACAGACTCAAAGAGCTTACACAGCATATCTAGCTTTTCAGACTCATCAATATCGAGAAGTTCACTTTCTTCCACAAATGTACTTTTATCATACATAACTCGATAGGGTATTTTCTCCTGAGAATCTGAGGCATTACCTATGTCTTTGGGTTTGAAGCCATCTAGTCTGCCATGCAATACTTTGGTAGTCTCAGGAAAAAGCATTTTCTTTTCCAATCTCCACAGGAGAGCAAAGTCTTGTGATTCAGTCTGTGAACAGCTACTTTCTTGTCTACATGAGCACGTGTCTTGTGTGTCTTCTGCCGCATTAAGCATAGACAAGTGTTCCTCCTCTTTGGGATGCGGCAAATTGTTGTTTGTAAAAGTGAGGGCTAATTTGTGATGTTTCCTCATTCTCTTATTTTGCTGGGTTTTCTTCTCGTCTACTGTTTCACTAGCTTCTGTTTCAGGTTGGTGCATATGCAAACTCTCTGTATCCAGTTGCTCTGCAGTGTTTACAGGCATCCCACAAAGCACATCTACAGTCTCAAGAGTATTGCTATTAATGTTACCATCAGTATCTCTGCCTTCATCAGACCGATTTAGACTTGTCTTTCTCATTCTCCTTGACCTTTGCTGCCTCTGTTCTAATGAGCCCGAGACAGGCCAATGTCCTACCATTTGCAATTCTGCTGTAACTTTATCTGAACTAAAAGAGGAACAGCTAGAGGTTAGATTTTCTTCCTCACATGTTTTTTCAACAGTACAGGTCACAGGCAAGCCCGCCTGCTCTTTATCTAACTCAGGGTGCTGTTGACTGAGAGTTTTACCTTCCTTATCGCTCTTCAGGGAAGATTTTTCTAGTCTTCTAGCTCTTTTGATTCTCTGCCCCATTGTTTGTTCTACAGGCCAGTCACCCAGGAAATTTAGTTCTGGTTTTTCTGATGTGTCAAAAGCTGAACTGCTTGCTTCCACTACGTCACTACCTTGTGTCGATTCTTGTTCTGTATGTATTTCACCAGATTGTTCAACTTCAGTTTTAACTTTAAGGATGCTGTTATCACCGTATTCCTCAGCTCCTCCTGTATGCAAGCACACAGTCTCTCCAGCCGTGGCCACATCAAACTCCTTCACTTCTCCCTCAGTATTTTTTTGTGGTTTTTCTTCCTTTTCTTCCTTCTTCTCCAAGGGGAGTTCTTTTTCTACACAATCTGATAAATAAACAGCCAAGTCATCTTGAACAGTGCTGATCTCAGAAGTGTGTTCTACTGAATTATTTTTCATTTCCTTTTCCTCTTTCTGAAAATGTTCAGGATCACAGTTACTTTCTAATGTTAGAAAAGTATCAGGAAAAGTTTTATCATCTTCAGCTAATTCAAGAGGCTCCACATCAGAAGAAAAAGTTTTCTCTCCTTTTACATCACAACGAGCCTCTCTCTCTCTGAAACACAAATTAAAATGAAAGATAAATCCATTTCAAACCTTCTTTAAGTACTTGTACAAATTTTTAACTTTGCTTGGCTCTTTTATAAAGAGGAACTTTCCTGGGTAAGGATCCTTTTTTACTTCAGTATGGCACTGAGAATATTTTCTCAGAAGTCTATTTTCCCCAATTCCCTGCACTCAGTTATGTACTGAAGGATCCTGCTGCCAGACATTTCCTCCTTCAGATCAGCAAACCTGGTAAATATGCTTTTATTCAATGATTCTTGCTTTTTACTGATGGCTCAATGCTAAAAATGTCTAGAAGTTAACTAGGAGAGGACATGCCTTTTCTTGTCATACTATTTTCTCAATCAACTACATTCCATTAATTACCAGTGCCCACTTCATTTCAAATACATTAAGCATGCAAAAACATCAGATTAAATAATTACAATAAAATCTATTTCTTCTGCATTATTATAATGCATATATGGCATTATTCAGATTGGCCACTACAAAATAATCGTGTATACAGGCAACATAAATCTAGACAAACCTAAATTAAATACACTAAAGAGCAAGAAGATAACGCGTTACTACTGCATGAAGAATTCACCTTCTACCACGAAAACATCATTTAGTACCAAAACATAGACTCAAATCTAGTAATTTGCTCGTACTTAGGACTACACTCTTCTGAAAAGCATTTTATAGATTTTAAGTGTTCTGTATTTACAACATACATCCAACAGCACATTCCTAAGATAAGAGAAAGTCAATCAAGCACAGCTTATTGAAAAGTAACACACAGACATGCTGGGAGGTTTTCAAAAAGCACTGGAAAGTTGACTAGAGACCTTGACTGCTCATCTCCAGAAATCCTGACATTTTTAAAAATCAAAACTATGTAGCATATTTCTTTTTATATTTTAAGTAATTTTTTAGGCAATCACTGTTCAACAGCATTATCCACGTTCCACTGCCATGAAGTTTGAAGTTTTAGCCTTTTATTTGAGACTACAAAGGTAGTAAAAGAATCTAACCCATGGCTTTCCTCCTGACAAGGTTCCTCACTCCAGTCAACAGCTTCTGATTTATCTGGGACTGAAGAATCCAATATCGAACTAACAGTAAGGCAGCGTTCATATCGTTCCAACATTCTTTTGATCTTTTCTTTAGATACACCATGAATGTTTCTCCTACAAGTTAAAAAAAATTTTGAAAAAGAAACATTTTAGACTTGTATATTACAATGATTGAATAATTTAATAATAATTTAATGATAATAGGTTTACAGCAAGAGTAACCAGAGAATTCAGAGGGCCCAGGCAAAACAGCAATTCTTCCTGTATCAGTGCAGTAAAGCATTCCAAATAGAGTATCTCACACAAACTGCTGCTCCACTTGACTTCATCACTCCCTCCACCCCCATTGCCATGTTCTGCAACAGAATGTTCTGCTTATTACTAAAATGGAAACCTGTACCAATAATACATCTTCAAATAAGCATCAGAAACACATCATATCAGATCTCGCCAGTGATGCAAGGATATTGAAATGGGTACACAAGATTTCCAAATTCAGTTTTTCTTCTCTGGTTTTGCTAAACTAAGAACTCCTCAGGCCTTGAGGAAAACTTATTCATCTATTATTTTGGACATCCTTTGGCTAGACATTTTCACTAAGTCTGTTAAATTAACAATGTGCTCTGCAGCAGCTCCATCTAGAATGAGTGAATCCTGCCAAGGATGGTAAAACACAAACTGAAAGTATGGGAGAAAACGTTTAAGTTCTGTTTTAGGAAAGAAAATAATCGTACTTGCCTTGCTTGAAAAGCAAGCAACCTTAACCTAAGCTTGCAAATTCAGGTGACAACAGATATTACGAAATCAGAAAAGAACTTATGTTGAAAGTGAACTCCAGAGGTCACACAGTCCAACCTCCTTCTCAGTAGGTACAGCTAGATCAGGTTGCCCAGGGCTCTATCTTGTCAAATTTTGAATATCTCAAATGACTGAAAGTCTACAAACTCTCCAAGCAAACTCTTTCAGTGTCCGGTCACCCTCAAAGTCAATTTTGTAGGTTTTTTTTTCTTTTATGTAATCAAAATTTCTGAAGTTCCAACTTAATGTTTGTTTTGTCCTATCTCTGCAGGATTGTCAGAAGAGATCTTCTTAGTCTTCTCTATAACCTCTCAGAAAGAAGCTGAAGACAATAATACAATCTTCTCTTAAGGCTGAACAAACCACTCTTGCTCAATTAATTACCACCCGCAAATCTGCTGCGAGCACACTCTGTCCCAACATCCAAGTCATAAAAGGGATGTTAAATAGTAGCAGCCCTGGTACCCACCCTAGAGGGAAATCAGCCTCCTCCTGGACTTTGAACCGCTGATCACACCCCTCTGAACCTGGCATCCAGCCAATCTTATAGCTCTCTTATTATTGACTTACACAGGGGTTATGTCTTGCCTGTCTTGGCTCTAATGGCTCTACGGTTGTGTAGAAGTTCCTGCTAAAGAAGAGGTAACGAACAATGGTGATGCACAGGGGTTTGTCCCTCTCAGGCCATGAGGTGCTGACTGCCTTAAACTCCGTAACAGCAGAACAGCCACAACCTGACAGGAGCAATCACTGTACCTTAAATGCAAAGAAATTCAAATTATGAAAACATCACATATTGCTAATAGAATCATTAAGGTTGGAAAAACCTCTAAGACCATCAAGTCCAACTGTCGACCCAAAACTACCATGACCACTAAACCATGCTCCCAAAGTGCCATGTCTACACGTGAACATCTCCAGGGATGGTTGATGTCACCACTTCCCTGAGCAGCCTGTGTCAATGCCTCACCACTCTTTCAGTAAAGAAATTTTTCCTAATATCCAGTCTAAACGTCCCTTGATGCAATTTGAGCCCATTTCCTCTTGTCCTATCATCTGTGACTTGGGAGAAGAGACTGACCCTCACCTCACCATAACCTCCTTCCAGGTACTTTTAAGAGTGTCTTTTGTACATAATTAGAATAAAGTGACAGGAAAAAAAGATCTCATTAAGAATACATACCATAATATATATCCCACAAAAGTTAATATTCTAGAAAAAAATATTTAAGAGCTACTTATTTCTGCAAAAATCTTGACTGATATCTTGCTACTTCACCAGGCACTGTACTAAGTGATACCTTTTTTAAAATCATAGTTGATAGACTGTAAAGATATACAATCTAGTACGACATTTTCCTTTATGTTCTTTACCTTTCAAGTTCTTTGGGTTTAAACTTCCACCAAGTGTCTGGTTCTCGGAACATAACTTTGTATTTGAACTGCTGAGCCTGAATAAAACAGGTACAAAACAGAACAAGCCACATCGTCCATTTTTTATTTCTATTAAAAAGCACACAATACATATAGCCTTCTTCTTGAAAGCTGTCTTTTTCTATTTTTCCAAACCAATTAAACGTTTGGAATAACACACTTTTGTTCAGTGTTTCACTTCTGATTATATAAATGGACATTTTGAAAAACATGGACATGCATCTCTTACTGTAAAATTAAACGTGTGCCATGACCACAGGAAATAAAAAACCAAAACAGTTGTTTTGTATCACCCCTTTGAATGTTCTACCTCCACTGACCCAGCTGTAGAACACTTTCTGCCAGATATGGTATGCCCATGCCTACACAACCTCTCGGAGACAGAGGGAAGCTCGCTGCTTACATTCAGAGCTGATCAGATGTAAGCCAGTTCCAAAAAACCAATTCAGTTACATTAACACAGCTATTGCAGACAGCTTCCCTGCCATTCAGAAAACATGAGCAAGGTGCACATAAACGGTTCATATACGGTGCAGTTTCATCATGACAGAAAAAGAGCACAAAGTCTGACTAGGTGAAACACTGTGAGTACTGTGTCACTTCTCCCTGCTCCTGTTTCCAGAAAAAAAAAAAATTACTGCCTTACTAAACCCTTCATTATTTTACAAAATACTGCAGTTCTGTATGCATTGGAAAAAAAATTAAAATTTATAACTGCCAACCAAAATGGCAAATGATCAACAGCAAAATAAGAGCCAGAGTCTAAAAGTGCTGATGGCCATTTAGAAACTATTAAGCAAAAAGGTGAGAAGCTCCAGAAAACTGGAGTAGGATAAACCTTTAACAGAGTTCTCCAAGTTATTTAAATCTAAATTAAACAGAACTTTGGAAGTTAAATGTAGATGTACTTACTTAGTTCTAAATAAGAGCAGGTCACTTGTAGTTACTAAATAAAAGCACTACACTGCTAACATAAAATAGTGCGGGTGCATTATTTTTATTACTTATTCCTTATTAATTAATAAAAATTCTTAAGTAAATCTGCATAACTTCAAGTAAGCTAGCAACACGTGATAACTCTAGCCCTCCAGCTGGTCAGCTGGTATCAGCCTCTATGTCATATTCACAATGAAACTAAGACTGAGTTTTCAAGTTTCATGGAACATCAAACATCACTGCTTATTATATTTTAAAAGTAGCTTATACTTTTACTCATCATGTAAAAGAGTAATAGTATTCAGTTTCCTCAATAATACTTATTTTTGCTCCCAAGTGCAAAGCACTTTGTCACTTTGTAACTAGGCCAGGTCAATATTCAGACACACACAATGACATTGGGTTATGATTCCATATAGCATTTTTTCTTTTTTTTTTTTTCCTCCAGGCTTGCTTGTGGAATAATAGCTACACTGAGAAAGACAATCTTATTTTAAAACATATGTTGTTGCCATACTGTTCAATAAACCCTTTTCACATTGTTCAAATTATAATACTAACCAGAGTAACATAAGGTTTCATCTCCCATGCTTGTATGTTTGTGTTGTCTATTATTATAGGAGAGATTCTCATTTCAAATGCTTCTTTGGCTGAAAGACACATGTGTACAAAAGGATGTGATAAAGTTAATTTCATTATAATAGGGTGAACATGCAACATTTTTACCGATTCTCTAAAATTTCTAATATTTTTTTAAAGTAGATAATCCATAATCATTAACCACTGTGTAAAGAACTCTCACCTGATCTGTTTCAAGGCCCTCTTATTTTAGAAATCCCCCCTCACATGTAAAGCTATCGAGATATGGCATTATTCTTTTGAATTAATATATGTATGATAATCAAGGAATGTAAATACAGACGTAAAATGCACCAACATGACTAATCAATCAGTAAATTAAACTAAAAAAAACTACATGATCACCTTAAAGTGGACTTCTTTGTTGCATACAAAATTCTTGCCTTTACAACAGTCTTAAGATTAGCCCACTCTGTAAACTGTATAAAATATGAAAAAATCAAAAGAATTATTGTAATTTAAATACACAACAATGAAATGTTTAGAAACACTAGCTCTGAAATATAGCATCATGTTTCTGTAGCTTTGTTACAATACCTCTGAGCACCCAAAGCTATCGTTGAATGGCAAGTTTCTTTTTAACCCATTTCTCCACTGTTTATAAATTTGACAATAAAAAAGTGATCATGGTTCAAATTTTAAAAACAAAAGCTGAAAAGGAGTTGTTCCATGATGAGTTTAGCAGGAGCCACTATCAAAAAATACACCAATTATTGAAAGAAAAGAAAAAAAACATTTATTCTATCTTGCTCTTACAATTTTTTTTTTAATTTGCCAACAGTTTAGTGCTCAAGAGAAAAAACAATAATTGAGAGCAGGAAAATATCTGTATATTATCTGTATCAACATCTTCATTACTTATTGCATGTGCATATATAACGGCTCATCTCAGAGAAGAAATACTTCTGGAAGATCGTACAGATTACCACTTCAGAAATGGGACACAACCCAAAACACATACCATGACGGAATCTGAGGATAAACCAATCTTTTAACAAAGACACTGGCATTTGTAATTGCAAAACACACGTTGGAAACATGAGTTTGTGCGCATATTCTTTTTCTGCACACTTATTAAAAAAATATGTCCAAGATGGAATAAATGCTGCATCCTATGACTCAGGCATTACAGGACAGGCAGCTTTTTAAGCAGCACATAAGCATTGAACTGTAAATGAGCAGGCTAATCCCTTATTTATTTCTCACCTCGTTTCCTGTTCCAGTCATGTGCTTCCCCTAAGCAATCAGGATCATAATGGTATTGTCCATGTTTATAAAAGTAATCGTCAGTACTAAGAATGATTCCACCCGGGTTATCCTCAAGCAAAGCCCTGTGGAAGATCAAGAAGTAAACAGCTTTTCCCTCTTCTCCTCCAAAGCCCTGATATCTGCTACCGTGTATGTATTTAGCCTCTTGCACAAAACCAAGACTATCTAGAATCAAAGCAGCAAATTTAGGTAAGGGGGGGGGGAATCACCCTCCAGGCAAAGATGATCTACAATAACATCCTTCCTTTTCCAAAGGATGAGGACATCGAGGGGAAAGAGCTGACAGAATTTCCGTACAAGTCTCATTTCAGAACAACAAGGGAGGCATTTTTCCACCTACATGTAGTGACATACTTTCATACTGACAAATACACATACAGTCTTAGTTGCACCAAATATTTCAGGTGCCAGCCAAAGGAGTCTAAGCTCTATGTAGGCTTTTGGATAGTTAGAAAACAAATCAAGAATTCAGCTCAACGAGGTCCACGCATATTATTCCAACAGTGGAAGGGGATTTTTGCCTATAAAGAGTTGGCATATTTCCATCCATGTTATTGGAAGGAAACACCTGAAATGAAGAGGGACTTGAAGAAAACAGCAGACCTAATACTAGTGCAATGATTCTCTGCTGACATAAACTCCTTTGGCCAGTGACCGATGTTAAAGCTAACCCCTCCTATTTCAATTTCCACTGAGCTGCAAGCAACTCAGCTCTCTGCAATTACTATTACTCATCATGCTGCATGTAACATGTAGCTGGCAATTAGTGTATGAGTGTAACTATTTGGAAATGTCAGAAAATTGTCTCTGCCTGCACTGAAACCTGTACACAATTAAGCAATTTCTTTTAGAAGCTCACAATATAAATGTTCTACCTTGCCAAATATGATTTTCCTGATCCTGGAACACCTCTGAGAAGAACAAGTACTTGACCTACAAGGTGCATCGTTTTTCTCATCATGTGACAAACAGGTGGCTGCTGTGCTTGCGAGAGGTTCAATTTTGAGTTTCTATCTTGATTTCCCCATACCTTCAGAGAACAGTCGCTCTCCCAGGCATTTGAAACCACTGGAGAAGAAAAACAAAGTCCTTTTTCCAAAGACCTATAGTCTGAAACAGGTTTCCACTGTCCTGGGCTGACAGCCACAGGAGTTACAAAGTTGTGACTTTGACTGGATGGATAAAACACAGGAGCCATTAGATTCCAGCGTTGTTGAGGTTGACTTGACGGTGTAGAAAAATTAGAGTTATAATCTCTCTGAGTTTGCTGAAAATCCCCAGGATCCGGTGTTTTAAAACCCGATGCTTCAAGAGAGACAGATGCCTTTGCAAGAGAAGTGCTCTCACAGCTGTTAAAGGCAGTCATTACCTCTTCGTGCTGTTCCAGGCACCCTGAATTAGGATTTCCACTGAGAGCTACTCCAAGTTCCTGAAGTCTTTGGGAAGACTCAGCAGAAGCAGCAGTCATACTTTTTTGATCCAGAACAGTGTCTTGTATCTGACAGGAATTTCCACATGATTTTTCTCCATTTGATGGTTTATAGATTTCTGAAGCTACATCATGCTGAACATGTGTTTCTGACACATCAGAATCTTCCAATATCTGAGCTGGCGAGCTCATCTGGACACTCAGCTGACTCACTGGAGGTTGAGAAAAGCTAAAGTTTTCTAAAATCTCAGTATTTGTCCCTGTTTGTTGTGGAAGAATTACGACACTGCAAACTGAATCAGATTTTTCCCACTCAGGAAATTCATTAAAGCCATCGTGTTGCACAGAGTGCTTATGCACTATTTGGTCATTTGCAGAATTAGGCAATTCATCACTCAAGCTGCATTTTTGAAAGGCGTTTTCTATCAAAGAATCCAGTTCTTCAGTCAGCTGCACATCAGGTGAGAATACCTTTTCTTTTTCTTCTTCAGAATTGCTTTGTTCTGCAGTACTTTCCCCTATTCTTGCATTTGTGACAGATCTTTGCTGATTAACAAGTGCTAGTGATGATGCTATTGAATCAAAACCCAACATTTTTGAAGATGCTACTCCTTTGGCGTGGGTGGACAGCTCTAGCAGATAATCCATAGCGTTTTCTACTGTTGAATAACATAAAGAGAATAAAACATGGTCAATTGAATAAACATAAACTGATATGAACAGTTTTTTACTTGAAGGAGTATTTATCGTGACTAAACAGACAACCAAAAGATAGTTCACCAATTTATCTTTTAACACACCTTCTGCAACTTCCTTGATCTGTTTCTCATTAGAGATAAAGGCAGAAATCAATACAGGCATGCTGCAAAATGATAGCCTAATAAGCATAAAAATTACCAAGGAAATAGTGTCTAGAACTTTTTAAGCTTAACTGGAAAAAGTATCAGAACAGGATGTTTAAATGGATACTTATTTCTAACCCATCTCATATAGGTAAAATACTGTAAAATGAACTGAAAAACAGCACTGAGGACCAAAGAGATGAACATATGCGTAATACGTTCATTATGGCTAGGCTAAATTGAAAAAGTCCTATCTAACAGAGCCTGAAAAATCCAGTACCTGTATTAATGCTTTGCAAAGCCACCAAACAGAGTAGAGGTTGCTTGTGATCAACATGAACAAAATGAAATCCTAGCACAAGTATCATTTGAGTCCTAAAGCTAAGATCCTGTTTTCCTTAAAGACAGTGCAGCAAAAAGTTTATGTCCGTTAAAGTCCAACTCTTTCTGCATACATGTTAAATAAAATCTTCCCTGTCCTTCCATCTCCACTATATGAGAGCAACTTATTACTCATATGAAAAGATGCTCATCTTTCACTTTTTTAAACTATTGTTAATAGTACAACACAATAATGAACTCAGCATGTTTACTGAATTCTCCAGTAAGCTTCTAGATAAATGTATTATTTGGTAAAGGTAAATCTTATTACGAGTTCAAAGCACGAATTAGTAGTTCCATCAATTTCAATTTTCAAAGGAAGAACCATCAGAGCAACAAATATAAGAGCTATCAAGTTATAAACTCCGTACGATTTAGGTCAGGTAAAAACAGCAATAAAAGCAGTCTTTAGCCTTTTCTGGAGTCTTTTTTGACTTTTAATGGAGTCTTTAAGGTCATCTAGTCCAACCACAGCTCATCTATAAAATGTCATATTCTGCCTTCTTTCCAAATATTCTTAAAAAAATCTCAGCTAATCACATCTGATCATATGAACATAGATTAAAATGCACTGTATATGGCTTGTTACTCCGACAAGTAGCTCCGCAGATGTTGCTATCCAGCATCTCATCCATTACTTCTAATATAAGCAAATGAACTATAAAAATAGTCTGCCAGGAGAGGTGGGTAAGTAGCTTGGCAGAATACAGGGGAAGAAACGCAGCCCAAGTGAGGCTGCAGAGAATTCAATATGACAAACAGAATTCATCCTGCAAAAACTAATCCTCAGTGGAGATGACAGCACAAAACAGAAAGTAAAACAAATGCTCAACTCAAGCGTTTAAGAAAAGCAAATGGTGCCAGGACCACATACTGTGTACCACTGTCTTAAAAAATAGTGATCTAGGACATAAAATACCCCTCCCGCAGAAACAGTTTATGCATCTAGCAGATATGGCACAGAAACTAATTGGAAAAAACAGATTGCCCTCAGCACTCTACCACCCCCTGCTCTGTGTCACAGAATAAGCCACTAAACTGCACCTCCATTTGTGAAGCACACTGCTACTGCAAATTACCAGCCTCACCAAAACACTGTCAAACTTGGAGAATCTTGTGTGGAAGGAGCTACAAAATATCAAAATATTATGACTCACCTACTCATTAAAGGCTAAACTCACAAATATGCTTGCAACACCCATATCAAGTTTTCTGGAGTCACCCTAGTTAAGGGCTGTGTGTGTATGGAATAAAACTGTAATACCAGCTGCATATTATTTACCTTTAAAATCACATTCTGACAGAACCATATAAACCACACTAGGATCTAGGTCAGAAAACATTTCTGACATGCTGTTGAAGAGCTCTTCCTTGTTGACACTGTGCACTACTTGTGACAGTGTGTGGCTTGGGTCCCGTTGGGATATAGCAATGGCGCCATTCTTGCGAGAAGGACTCCCACCAGTTTTCCTTCTCCGTGGCATTATGTTGCCTAAAAATCAGCTTGCTTTTGTTTTAGTTTGTTCACATGAGGCTGACAGCACCAAGCTCAAAAGACACAAGAAAAATCTCTCATAACTGAGATACACAGATCAGAAATAGCAGACCTGGGGAAAAAAAAGAGAACAGAGAAATTTTAATAAAATATACGGACACATTTCCATGTCTCCTATTTAGATAGCTAGAAGATGAAAAAATAAATAAATACATAAATATTCAGGAAAGCATTTTCTAGAAGGCTGCCTTTCTATTTTTCAGATGTCTGACAGCTAAATAACAAGTTTATTTTCCAACTAAGTGCAACTGAATCTGCATCTGGAAGTGAAAACAAATAAAACTGAGTTTGAAAGAAAAATCCAGAAAGGTAAAGGAAGCAATGCATGGCAGGCAGTTCACAAAAATTCCTCTGCTAACACCTACTGATGACCAGTTAACATTATGGAACTTATACTGAGAAATTTTGCTCCTCTTACAAAAGTATTGGAAAACTTAACAGACATCTACCAACCTTCCAAAAGCCCTTTATGACTTTCATCACTCCTGACCCCTCCCATTTTTTAAGACTAAACAGTTGGGTTCTTCAATATTCAAACACCATCACAGGTTGCCAAGAGGTGTTGTGGAGTCTTCACACAGATTCTCAAAACCTGACCAAACAAGGCTCTGAGCTACCTGCTTCAGGTGACTCTGCTTGAGCAGGTGGGTTGAACCAAACGACATCCAAAAGTGCCTCCCAACCTCAGCATCTGTGGGTTAATTTAATTGTTAAAAGCATCTTACCGCTTTATAAGCCATAAAACAAGAAGAGGCTTCTGTTCATCTTCCTACCTCTTCTGCCATAAAACCTTTGTATATGTCTAGTTAAAATATTTTGGCATCTGTAACTGCAATTACTGCATTAATCTTTTATTGAAAAAGGAAAGCAATTATTAATTGAAGTACAAGCACAGAGTATGGTGTGGCCTTGCTTTTTTCTTTATATCAAATAACTTCAAAGCTCTGTTGTATTCTAGTGATTCTCATAATAAACTAATTTGTAATTTTTCAAGTAATTATTCAGAAGACTAGCACACATCGACAAGGCTCAGAATCTGACATTAATAACAGCAAAGGGTCACTATCTAGCAGTAACAGTTACTGCGTAGGTCATAAAATACCTAGTTTTATATAAAGATTACTTTGCCAGTGACAACCAGTTCAACATGTGCAGATAAATCAATAGCAGCACTTTCAAGTTCACTTAGTCCTTCCCTCTCTGAATCATTGGCACACGAATGTCAATGCCAGATCAGTGCCAGATTTGGACAGCACTTCTCCATTACTCTCTAGCAATCTCTTCTAGAAACTAAGAGCAGCATCATTTAGAAGAGGGTGAACTAACACACAATTTCAGTATCCCAGAAGTTTCCACCGTATAAGGACCTTAGATAAATGAATGAGAAAGGTGTCCAAAACATCAAAGAGGTCAAGGAAGCCTGAAATTCACAACGAGGAAAACAATACACAGAAAAAAGCAGACTTCCAAAATTAAAGGAGAAACAAGGGTGAAAGATGCTAGTTAGCCAGACTGAGCCAGGACAACTGCAGCTGTTTTTTTCATTACACTTTCTTTGGTTCACCTCTCTGATTAGTGTTCTCCACACCATTCTTTACTGTCTTGAAAAAGCATTCAAGCAAAACAACTTTTTAAAAGTTACAGCAAATCATATTTTTCAAGCTTATATTTCTACTTGATTCATCCTCCAGCCAGTAAAATAGGTTGAGACCTAACCTCACACAATGTGTCAGTGCTAAAAAAATATGATTGCTCTGGACTAAAACAGGTTCAATGACAAAGAAAAGGCCCTGTAAAGGAGAAAGGTACTCATGACTCTTGACATTACTGAGCACCAAGAGACTTGAAGCAGAACACTCCAAGTGCCATCAACGTTTTAACCCAGCTCTCTCACACTGATCACTCATGCAGGGACCTGCTGCCGAAAAACATGCTATAGGATGTTCCCCTCCCAATGTATTTCCTGCATTAATCTGTGAATCTCACTGTTGATTAGGATGCCTTACTCTAATGACCTAATGAAGGCACACTCTTCAGTCTGCATGAATCTCAGTCAGCAAATTTACAGTGCACTGCTTCAGGATTATGGAGGGCTAAACTTTTTATCACAATCAGAGAAGGGAAAAGAAGGCAGAAGGCAAAAAGACATTGGTCACCTCAGAACATACGCACAGATGAGACAGACTCATGAGCGGTATCTTCTGTTGATGCTACCAGGCACAATGAAAGTACATAAAAATACATGCCTGCACAAATACAAAGCACACTGTAGTGTTTCACACAAGAGATAACACTAACATGCACAGCTGAAAGGAATGGTGTTCAGTTGTATTTAAGAGTGTGCCCTGAACTTTACAGAGGACTTTATCTAGGGACTTGCCTTTTCAGATATTTCTTTTTTTTGAAAATCAGTTTACTATGAAAGAGGAAATAATTCTGAATAACTCAATAGCCTGACTTGAAGGTCAGCTATATTCATTGGTTCCAGATACCATAATATGACTCAGTCTGTAGCTTGCTGTGGATGAGGTTTTTTTCTCATCCCAGAATGCAAACGGAGTTGTAATAACATAATGATTTAGAAGAGTGGGGCTGCACTGAACACACTGAAAGGGAATTCAAGACAATTAGCCAGAGGCTGCAATATACTCAGAGGTTCGCAAGTCAGTTCTGGATACTGCTGTTTGACACACATCCAATTAGGGTAAACAGCTGTTTCATTTCAGCACTGATGAAAAACAATACTCCTGTGGCAGCCTCAACTTCACCTTTAAAAACAAAGTAAAACAAAATCCACACGTACCTCCTCACTCATCGTTCTTCAGAAATACACATTTCCCAACCTTAAGGATCTCTTCCGAATGTAATTCAACTACCATAAACAAGCATATGTAATAAAATCTGCTCATATGAAAATTACCTTCCAAATTTAGTAATCTTACAAATAAAAGAGACATTAAGACACTGGAATTGTCTAAAAAATAAGGCTAATTCAGGCTGATTTTCAAACCCTACCAACCTACAACAGAAAAAGTAGACTTGTCAGGTCACATTGTTTTATCATCATACTTCTAGCTGGCCAGAGTTTATGTCTGACAGTAGATCATGAGCCTCAGGTGTTGCCTGTTCCAGTACTGCTACCCCTAAGGAGCTGGACGGCAGTATCACAGACATTCTGTAGGCACAGGCACACAAACCAGTCACGACAGTAAGAGGCAGGCACCGATGTAATCAACCTAACGCAGCACATTTTTCTTTTTTGTTTGACAGACAGAACAATGAAGTGCAGAGAAGTGGCTGACCTGGCACAGCAGGGGGATGGGCCAAGATCTCAAGTGTCAATCCCAATATCTTACTAACAACATTCAACTTTCCTTTCCAGCGAAACAATTGCTTCATGAACTAGTTCTAAGAATGTGTTTATAATTCCCTAGGGAAAAGAAAGATGACCAATGCTCTTGATAAATACAAGTGTCTGTCAGTTATACACAAGAGGAAAAATATACAAGTTTTTTTTCTCCCTCTGTTTTTTGCACTCTCGTATCTAAACTGACAAACTCATTGATGAAGCACTACAGTCTTAGGAAAATATTTTTTTCATAAAGCATGGAGAGAATTTAAACCATCATACTTACTACATAACCATAGAACATATTGGGCTGGAAGGGACCTTCAAAGGTCATCTAGTCCAACCACCCTGCAGTAAATGGGGACATCTTTAACTAGGTCAGGTTGCTCAGAGCCTCATCAACCCTGACCTCAAATGCCTGCAGGGATGGAGCCTCCACCACCTCTCTGGGCAAACTGATCCAGTGTTTCAACACCCTCATTGCAAAGAACTTTTTTATAACATCTAATCTAAATCTACCCTGCTCTAGTTTAAAACCATTGCCCCTCATCCTGTCACTACACACCCTTGTGAACAGTCCCTCCCCAGCTTTCAGGACCCCTTCAGGTACTGGAAGGTCACTATAAGGTCTCCCCGGAGCCTTCTCTTCTCCAGGCTGAACAACCTCAACTCTGAGACTGTCCTCATAGGAGAGGTGCTCCAGCCCTTTAATCATCTTTGTGGCCCTCCTCTAGACCTGCTCCAACAAGTCCACATTCTTCTTGTGTTGAGGGCTCCACAGCTGGACTTACTGCAAACAAATTCCCTTGCAGACACATTTCAAAAGGTTCCATTTTATCTTCAAATTGTCCGTAGAAGAAATTAATACTAAACAGTGCAAGTGTAACAGTCACCCCGGTCAGATTCTTCACATTAAGGGGGAAAAATTGGACAAAAGCTACAATAAATCAATACACCATCTGACTGTTGTAAAATTTCTGGAAAAACGATGTAAGTCTCAGGCTTGAGACGTGCGCCATTTTTGTTTCATTTTCAGTATAATATGAAAATGAATATGCATTTACTCAATAAAGATCTGATGAAGGCTTTACAACTCATACGTCACTTACATTGCGATGTCTGCTTAAAAACCACACATAGTAGCTTTTGTTTTCAAGATGTGTCAAAATTCATGAGTAGAGTGGACTGACTGCAAGTCTTATTACACATACAATCTCCAGTATAGGAAGAGAAGAAAACAGGTAGTATTCAAGAATAGATAGAACACCCAAATAAAAAGGAAGAAATACACTAAACTACTTTTTTTCAAGTGAGTAAGCTGACACCAAAAATATTCACAAAACCCTTTAAATCAGAAACACTGCACTGGGAAATAATCAGCGATAAAGATAATTTAAGCAAACAGACCAGAAAAATATCAGAACCACCACTCAAAGGTTGACTAAAAGCATTCAGCAGTACAAGACACTTCTCGTTTAACTGTGATCAAGTTCATATGACAAATAAGTTACCGGTATTACTTCTCTTCCTGTAAGGACAAAGGAAGTCTCCAGCCTTGACACAATGTAACATTCAACCAA